GTTTTTGGTTAGCAAACGGTGCTCTTTTTCCTGTTTGCCTTCGAGCTTCTTGACGAGTTGTAGACTTCATGTGTCTTTTAACCAAGGCTGTCATCTCCCTCGGTTTTCCCTTCGCATACCGTTAAACCGAAGTTTTGTAGTCACCTGTGTGGTTATCGTCCTTTCGTTTCATGTATGGGCTTTAAATAGTTGGCTTACTTAGCCCTTTAGCTGTAGCTTCGCCATCTCTGAGCGAAGGCTACTATTTTTTTCCGAATTGGTTTTCTAGCATGTTTAACGCAGACTGGCTTCTTGATTTCCTGGTGAAAGTCATGGATAGTTGTTTTCGCGTCTTGAGAAAACATTATCCGTATATATTTTTGTGTCGTTTTTGGCGCTCTATATGAACGATATTCTCGTAACCTTTAGACGAAGGGTATTGATAGTTGCTTCGCAATTTTTGAACGAAGGATACTATACTTTCTTTTGAGTTGGCTTGCATGCCTTTGATAGATAATAGCTTCGCGATTTTTGGCGAAAGCTAACAGTAGTAGCTTCGCGATTTCTTAGCGAAGGATACCATTTTTGCGTTGGCTCTGGTGCTTTTGATGGGCAATAGCTTCGCGATTTTTAGCGAAGGTTATTGATAGTCGCTTCGCGATTTCTAAGCGAAGAGTACTATTTTTGCATTGGCTTTCGTGCTTTTGATGGACAATAATTTCGCAATTTCGCGGAAATTACTATCATTTTTTCATTTTCTGCCCTTTTCTGGGCAAAGCTTAATTTCTGCCTCTTTGGAGGCGAATTTTTGTTGTCTTGTCTTGAATTACGACAAGGCTCCATTCCTTTATAAAAGATATAATTCCCTGATTCCTTCTGGAGTGTTCCTTCATGCCCTATATATACAAGGAGTGTTTCCAGTTGTCCGATCTGCTTCTTTTGTCTTTCTTTTCGTAGATATGGAATCCTTGTGGGATCGCCTTCCTCGTGGTGTTGTGAAGGTTCTCACACGCAATGGTTTGAAGTGCGGGGATAATCTTCCTTAGGAGCTTGTTGACCACTTCGCAGAGCTTGACAAAATTACTAAGAAGCATACATTGGTTGAAGTTCCCGCGGAGCCTGTTCCTCTTGCAATGGTCCCTCCTGGTGCGATCATCATCACTGATGACGAAGGTCCTGCAAATCGTTGCGCTAGGCCTTCGCCATGCTTCGGAGTTGCGAGCCGTACTCGTAGTAAAACCAAGAAATAATCTGATGTTGTTTCTTGTTGTTTCTTTGATTTGAATCTTCGCTTGTATAGCTCTGCCCTGCCTTGTTTACTTTTTGGTTTATTGTAAACCCGCTGAGTTGGGTAATCATTGCTCCTAGTTAAATTCCGGTGTCTAAACTTGGGGGCCTTCGCTTCCTTTATTGTTAACCTTGAGGCTTCGTGATTTCCTCCTGTTCTTCAGCTTCCTTAATTCTGGCGGCTTCGCTTCTTTCTTTACACCTTGATGCCGGTGTGCTGTGTCTTCATTTCCTGACTAGGATAACTGGCGCTTGGTAAGATATTTGCTTGTTTTTGACCTCGAAGATGCCTATGTGGATAGTTTGTGGCCTTGATGTCGTCTGCCATAATAAGGGTAGTTTGGATGCTTCTGCCTTAGATGCTCTTCTCTTCTTTTGGTCGTGGGTTCGGCCCACGGACGGCGCCAAATGTTGGGGGATCGAAGGTCCCTGAAGGACTCAGCGAAGCCCTCCAACGGGTTCTGTCTGATTGTCTAGCCGCTACGGAGCTCTCTGTACGTTTTGACGCCCGAAGGTCCTCTTGCGAAGCCCTCCGAAGGTCTTCCCGTCTGATGCTCCCTTGGCAAAGCCCTCTCGATGTGTCCGTATTGCCGGATGAAGGTTCACCTGCCCAGGCTGTCTCTTGGGTCTTTCGTTATCTATAATCCCGAAGCCCTCGGTCGCCCGCGGTGCTGGGCGAAGGGGTTAGAGATGACAGAGAAATGTGGACGGAGTAAATGAGGTGTCTCTGGCTCGTGGCCCAAAAAACAGATGTCATTACAGGATCCCCTCCCTCCATATTTATAGGGGAAGGAAAGATTGTTATTACAGTTATGCCATCAACCATTTCTACTACGGTTCCGCAGTGGTCCTAGCGCGACCGCCTGGCGACTCCCCTTCGTAGCCCTCCTTTATGCCTTCGCGGAGCTCGGGGCGCCTTCGCTGGATACAAAGAACCTTCGTACTCTCCTTCTTGCTTCGTCCGTCACCATGCTTGCGTCTTCTACCTTCACCTGGTCCTTTGCCGTGCGTATTCGCAGCCATCTTCCCAACACCTACACACACAACTTTCCAAATACTTGGATGAAGAGAGATTAGATGTAACATCATGTTGTGCCTCCATTTGGTATAATGCGTCCCATCAAAATGAGACGCTCTACCCATTTGGACAGCCGTAAAGTTAGTGTGAGAACTTAATCTTTCATAACTAAAAGGCATAGCTTGAAAGTTTTCACTTCTCTTGGAGTGATTGCTTCTTTTGCTTCTTCTTGAAGCATGTGACCTTTTATCTTCGGAGTTTGGGATTAAGTCTTCGTCTTCCGACTCGTTTGTGTGCGCATCCTCTACAAGCACTTCTTCATCCCCGTAGTCGATCAACTTGGGTTGCTCCACCACCTTGGACTTGCTCTTCTTCTTCTTCAAGCTCCTGGGATCACCAAGTGTTGCCTCCATCTTTTCTCCAAGCGGTTAAGCTTCAAACGGAGTACTCGACTCTGATACCAATTGAAAGTTGCCTAGAGGGGGGGTGAATAGGCAATGCTAAAAACTTCTACAATTTAAGACTTAAACAATTCTGTCAGCACACCGGATACTCCGGACCTGGAAGTGCCGGAGTGTCCGGTACTGTGTCGGACAGTCCGGTACAGGGGATAAATCTGCAGAATTTGAAAACTATGAAGTTTCTATCAATTCTACTTGAATCAAAAGACTTGTATAGATGCTAGCAAGTGAATCTACACAACAATTGCGGAAGAAAACAAGTAAATACGTAGATCGAGGCAATATAGTGATATATAAGCAATACGAACAAGAACAAGTATGAACAACAAGAACAAACGAAATATAGACAATTTGACACAAGATTTGTCCCCGAAGTTCAGGCCCACAAAGTGCCCTACGTCTCCGTTGAGTAGTCCACAAAGGACCGGGTTGCTCTCAACCCTTTTCCTCACTCAAATGGTCACCAAGACCGATTCGAGTTGCTCACTAGCAAATCCCTTGCGGGAATGGGTAATACAAACTTCTCGGAGCTTCACCACATGAATTGGGAGCTCCCGGGCCACCTCTAGCCGTCTAGGAGCACAAATCTCCAAGAGTAACAAATGAAACCAAGTGAGAATGATGCCACAAGAAGCTCAAAGAGTGGGATGCTTGCTCTCAACACGAATCACTTGCTCTCACACACTCCCTTGAGTGAATCACACAAATCTTTGTGTTGAGAATGAGTAGAGAGTGAAGGGGAATGCTCTTGGTCGTGTTCTTGTGAGTGGAGGCGAGAGATATGGCCGTTGGAGGTGGATGGATATATATAGAAGCTCTCAAAAATCGAACCGTTGCGCTGCTGGTTAGGTCCCACCGGAGACTCCGGCACATAGCCGGACACTCCGGCTAGAACTTAGGCTGTGGTTGGATTTCTCTCTATTGGACACTCTGGCATGATGCCGGACACTCCGGTGGGCTTGCTCGGTGAGCAAGAAAATAGCCATAGTTGCAAATTCACTTTGGGTGGTTTTGATTCAGCCAATAGCTCTTGTGACACATACCAACACATGATTAACATCCCTCTTGATAGTACGGCATTCCTATACTCAATTAAAATTAAAGAGGTGCTAATTTCTTCCATTGAGTACTTCATGCCAATTCTGTTCAACACATAGAGGACTTGCATCCATTTGAATATTTTTGATGTCCATTGTAGGACCTAGCTCAACATTTTCTCAATGCAAACATTAGTCCTCTGTGCAGAACAGGAATAGCTCTTTTCTCTTCCACGATGCATTTACTACAGCGTTTTCCATCGATTTCCTTATGCACTGCCGTGGACTTTCTGAGCCAAGAAGGTATCCTGGACTTGTTTGTCTCAGCGGGTAAAGCGAAGCCGCGTGCCCTGTGGGCCTGTGGATGTGAGCCACTGAATCACTTTGACAGTGCATGCCGGCAAACAGCACGCCACAACTTCAACAGCGGCGATCTCAATCCGCAAAACAGGGCCCTGGCTCCCCGGATTAATCACCGTTTCTTCCCCATTCCTCCTATTCCCAGATGTCACCGTTGCATTGCCTTCGTATTTTTTTATTTTTGTTTTCGGCGCATGCTCACGGAGCTCTGTGTTTTATCGACATGAACTTCTTCAGAAAAAGGGAAAGATCATGAACCCTGTGACCTTCAGGTGGCAGGGGGTGGCATATTTATAGTACATGTGTAGCATCAATTTTGTATATCTAGGACAGTGGGATATTAATTTGTAATATGTTATTAAGAATTCTAAGAGAAAATGCATGTGAGCACAAAAACGGGATATCTCTTACTGAGTGTAAAATCTATTTCTCCGTCTCATTTCGTTTATGCTTATGTATGTTTATTTGATTTCTTGTTTATTGTGTGTACCTACTTTGGAAAACAGTGTATCAATTTTTTTTTTGTAAAAGGTACCCGTGCCTTTAAAACTAACCTCCAAAAGAGGATAATCCAGTTTGAGTAGATGGACAAATTAGGTAAAAGAGATACTAACCTTTTCTAGTTGTAAGAAAAAAAATTGTTCCCTTTTCTTTTCACTACAACACATAAGGCTTGTAAAAAACTCGACCTGCGAGGGGCAAGCCGCCCCCGTGGCATTTTGTTAAGAAGAAGACCTTCTCACGCAGGTCGAGAAAACTCCCGAACCCTCCTCCTAACCGTACATAGAGACTTAGCTGGCCGGTGAGCTGTGGCGCGAGTCTATACCAAATGCATTGATCCAACCCAGTTCGAAAATTCGTCCCCACTGGGGATCGAACCCGGGACCTAGGAGGTGCCGCTCGTGGAGCCTTGACCACTCGGCCAAGGATCCTTTGGCACTCAGAAGGCTTGTAGTAACTCTCTTTATGTCTTTTTGACACAACTTATATCGTACTTACAGAGTTGTAGCGGCATTTTAACACAACTTACATCTAGTGTCTCTCGACATCTTGTTGGCTTCAAAAATGCTCTCTTTGTATGTCATGACTAGTACTTAAAACCAAGACCTCATAGAAAGTATTCTTTATTTCATCTCCACTAGCCAACTCAACCTCACATCGCAATATGTGAACACTTATTGTTCAATTTTTTTATGTAGTATATAGTGTCTCAATTCAAATAGTGTCTCTATAGTACCAAATATATGACTCAAATAGTGTCTCTACGAGTTAAGTCAATTAGAATGTGTCTTAAAAATGACTCTACAAATAAAATTTTGTATTGACACTTTACTAAATGTCTCTAGAGAATGTCACTACAGTAAAAGGTGTCACAAACATTGTCTCCTAACTTGAGTCACCTCTAAATTGACATAGCAAAATGTCTTTATGATCTTGTATGTCATATTCATTGAGACAAATAGGACAATGTCTATACAAAAGTGTCTCTACGCGAGCTTGTTGTTGTAGCGTTTTTTTTTCAAAACAAATGGTCACAAAATGTCTCTACAAATAAATCTTGTGTCATGAAACGCAAGAAGTTGTTTGTTATGGAGTACTTGTTCACAAAATGTTTTTTTTTGTTGCACTTCCACTAACCTACTGGTTTTGGCAGATTTTTTTATGTTGTGAAAACAATGAAGTTTTCAGCTTTTTTTCATGTTATCTGAACAATAAAATTTGATCATGTCTTTTTTGTCAATAAGAAGCAATATCTAAAAATAAATACTCGATGATCATGCTTCCTGGTAATTAGTAAGACGGCTCAACGTTATTCACAGATGGTGGTTAGGATCACACATGGACACATAATGTGTGGGCAAAAACCAAAAAAAAGCATATCAGTGTCGCGCCGCATCGAACAAACACCGTTCACTTCAGTTCCCTCCCATTTGAATTGATAGCTGCTCTGTTTCTCAACCTGCTCATCTGTTTCCTTGAATTGTGCTCTATTTCATGCTTGTGAACTGACGCAAGCTTTAGCATTGCACTGTTCTCACTAGGTTTGTACGATGCAGACGAGTGAGCTACAGACCTGTCATCAGCAAGTCGATCGCCGTACATGATATATATTGTATGATTTTCCTTTTTGTCGGTGGAGTAATAAGAGTGTGTTTTTAAGTTGGGAACTTATATTCTTAGCCAGCTACCATCACTACAAGATTTCTAAGAATCCTTAACAATTTTTCCAATAAGTGGCTGTTTTGAGTATATTTATAGTACTTGTGAAAACTATAGGGAATGAGTTTGTGTGGAATTTGCTAAAACTGTTAGGAAATATAAAATCTTTACTACAAAACTGTTGGCCATTTGAAAAATTACGCTAAAAGACCAAAATTATCAGCCACTTGCACAAAACGGATGGCCTCGTGAGACCCGAGCTAGCCTGATGGAGGTGCCTGAGTCAGGCATGATTTCAGTATAGCATCCAAACATGAAACTGGAAGAGTCAGACACGCTCAGGCATAGACAGATTTCACTCAGGGTAGCAACCAAACTGACCCATACTACCGGGATCGTTCCTCACTCGTGGTTGTTCCGCTCCCGATGCCTTCTACTCTCAACTCTCAAGTAATACATACACGTGCTATTGTCTCACGTTTCATCTCATTCTTTATTAGTTTTTTTTTTATTTTGTTGTCAAAAGACATGCCAAAACTTTGACGTATTATGAAGAGAAAGGAACATATATAGACATAATAGCTACTAGTTGAGTGACCCCTCATCTGGCGAAGGCCCCCGCGTTGCCTCCCAGGCGACACGGGCGGCGACTCTCACCGCACCGCCTTCGATCCTCCTCATCTCTCCATCCACTTCGCCGTCGCCGGAGCCGGCTCGCACGGCACAACCCACGCAGCGGCGAGGACGGCGGCGGCGGGGTCGTCAGTTCCTCTTCCCTCCCCAGTGTATTCCGGATCTCGCATCTTAAGGTGCGGCAGCGGCGGCTGATCCCAATCCCGGTGGATTCAAGGGATGGCCGGGGCGCATCCTGGTTGGTGCTGCCTGCACGCCATGCGCGCTGCACTCGCCGATCTGTTTGGGTCACGATCTCACCTGCCATCCCATCGATCGTCGTTCGTCGTCATCAGGTCCGGTGCGGGCTTGGCGGCGGGCTAGGTTTCTGATGATTGAGGCCTCCTTCCGAGTCCTCGATAAATCTAGATGGAGGTGTGTTTGCCTCGGTGGACTGCCGTGATGGCAGGGCGTGCGGCGATTGCCGGTTCGGCTCTTGTCGTGCACGTTGGTTTCTTGTCGATGCACGGGAAGATCACAGAAGATGCAGATCAGAGACAGCCTATGGAGAAAACAAAGTTCGTTTAATTTCTCCAATGTCAGAGGTCTGCAACTTGGGTAATGTATCAACGCGATCTCTAAGTCTATTCAGTACCTTTCGTCAGTTTGGCGATCAATGTCGTGAAGATATGGAGGAGCATTTCTTTTGGAGTCTGCAACAGCATTTGGCCTGTGGTGGCTAAATCTTCGCTTTGTTTGAGAGAGGCCACTAAAAGCCATGGGCGTGGCTGTTTGCTGACTTCTTACCAATTCTGGAATGCAAGACTTCGTCAGTTTATGTAAGAATTTTCAATGTCGGAAGTGGGTGCAGCGAAAGCATCGCGTGGAGCGTGAGGAGGTGCTTCACCTCCGCACATTCTGACTTTGTTCTTGTCTATGACTTTTGAAGATTGTGCAGCGAAAGCATCGCGCGTGTGCGCGGGGAGGGTGTCGTACCTCCGCACGACCTTGCCTATCAGAGTTTGGATGTAAGTGATGAAGTATTGTTTAAGCGGCGACAACATTCTTACAGGAAGGTGACTTCTTTGAGGGATGAAGATACAGCTGCAACGATAGTGTTGATGACACCATAGGATTTTGAAGGTGCTGAGCTAGATGATAGAGTTTTACGTTGTTTTTTTATGTGTTGTAGGCTGATTTATGTCGGCTCATCTAAGGTGTTTTTATATAAAGGCTAAATGTACTATCGATGTGCAGAGGCCGGAACGTTATTTCATCTCGAAATAAAGAGCTTCCTTTATCTAAAAAAAATTAAGACAGTGGCCAAAAAGAATTGTTTCTAAAATTAAATGCTAAATATGATGCAATATTACAATCAGTCATGTATGCTGAAAAAAGATAATTATTATGGATACACAACTTTTTGATGCTCGTAAACAAGAAAACTTATAGCTAAATTATACTAAAATAAGCCAATAGACTAATTGTTGATGGGGTTTTGCAAAAAAAAAAAAGAGAGAGAGACACAACAACACAAGTCCACTGTAGCGGCGGACCAGTAAAACACGTAGCGGCGGTTTGGCATGTGGTCCGCCGCTATAGTGGAGCATGTGGCACTGTTCCAAACGGCCGCCGCTATAAATAATTAATAGCGGCAGCCTGAAACATGAACCGCCGCTGTTGAGTTTTATTAGAGGCGGCTTCAAAGAAGACCGCCGCTACAAAACTTCGGTATTGTAGCGGCGGTTTTTCTTTGAAGCCGCCCCTACAAAAACATTTTTAGCGGCGGTGTGACTTTCTCGCCGCCACTTTTCTTCCCTTGACCCTCTCCGTTTGTAAGTTGAACGATGATTTAAAAACGCTAAACATTCATTGAAAATACTTATATACATATTTATCGCGATAAAACGTGATTAAGACGACATATAAAATTACTTATCACGAATAACCGTGATTAAAACGGCCTAATAACTATATTTACATTAAAAAAACCAAAAGATCCCCGGCCGTCGTCTTGACGGCCGGGGACGCCTCCACTACGCCGGCGCCACCGCCTCCGGCTCTTCCACTATGCCGGCGCCACCGCCTCCGGCTCCGGCGTCCAAGGACGCCATGGGGAAGGCGCCGCCGGCACCTTCGGCAGCCAAGGAGCCCACGGGGCCGGCTGGACCTCCGGCGGCAAAAGGCCCCAACAGGCCGCCTCCTCCTCCGGCTCCGACGCCGCCTCCACCTCGACCTCCACCGGCGGCTCCGGCTCCGCGACCGCCTCCTCCTCCGCGACCGCCTCCACCTCGACCTCCACCGGGCGCCTCGTGCTGCACCTCCAGTGGCCATGGGGCCCATGGGGACCCACGAGCCTCCAGCTCCGGCTCCGGTGGCCCTGGGGCCCATGGGGACCCGGGCGCCTCCGGCTCCGTAGGCCATGGCCTCCATGGGGACGCCGGACCCCATGGCCGAGGCGCCGGCCATGGAGACCACGAGGAGTCGACGGACTCCGCGCGGTCGGACCATGGCGACCAAGGCAACGACGGACGGGACGGGGACGGTGACGGCAGTGGCGACGGCGGAGGACGCGCTCGCGGCGGCGGTGGTCGCGGGAGCAGCGGTCACGCGCCATCTTCGTTTTTAGCGGCGCCGATCTATAGCGGCGCCAGATCTGTAGCGGCGGATGAATTGCCGTCCGCCGCTATAAATAGTAGCGACGGACTAGGGTTTCACCCGCCGCTTTAAATGCGAGCGTGCTCCCCGCCCATGCGTGTGTTGACGGTCGTTACGGCACGATTTTGACCGTCAAATACCTGCACAAATGGAATCAAAGTAAACACCAAACATAGTGTTAGGGCTTAAAACTAACAAATTCCACAAGTCTTGGTGAGATTTTGAGTGCAGGTGCATTTCATATCAAAAGGAGGGAATTCACATCAAGAAGGCCACAACACATCACTCCGAGAAAATCAGCACATGCAGCCCAACAAGATATGGATCAAAAGTCATACAAAACCCAACCAACTTGGGCCAATGCATGAAGATCATTGAACAAGACATCAAGAAGGACCCCTCGGCCAAAGCCCAAGGCCAAATGGGCCAAGGGGGGGTCGGCCGACCTGCTACAGTGAGGTCGGCTGACCTGCTACAGTGGCCCCTCTGGCCCATCTTTGGC